CACACGGCAAGATGCAGCCGTTAGATATTCCCATGTGGAAATGGGAAGATATTACCATGGATTTCATCACCAAGCTTCCCAAGGCTGCAGTGTTCATGAGTGCTCCTGGAATAAGATTCGAGTATTGGATTCAACCCACACTCATTTTGAATCACTTCATGGATTTTATCACGAGTGATCATGAGACGATAATATCTTATATTCTTCAAACGGAGAGGTATGAGTTGCAGTTTACAAGTCGGTTGCACATTGATGATATGTAAACACACCGGTAACTCGGTGTTATAAAACATATCATTGTGTGTGATTTGATGAGTAGATAGAGCAAACATATGAGTCGAAGTTTATCCATTCCTTTTACCCTTGGAGGGATAAAAGCGATATCTGTGGGCCTCTCGATGATTTAGTGATGACAACCCTAAGCGCTCGGCCGAGCCTGGACTGATTTGATTTGTTCAATTAGTCGGTCGTCATAAATCGGAAACCGGGAAACAACATATGGACAGAGAGAATGATTATAATCCATGTCTCAGTCCATATGATATCTAGAATGGAGGAATATATGATCCCTTATCTAATGGACGTGTCATTGACTTGGTCAGAGTTCGACAGCGGCTTTTAAGAGTTACGATTGCTAGTCGGGATTTTGGAGTCGTACTTGCAATAATAGTTATTAGACTTATCCAAGTGGGAGACTGTTGGATTAGGTGTCTAAGCCCATAACTATAATTGGTATGTACTTGACCCGAGAGTAGCATGGTCCATTTGGGTTGCATATCATCAGGACAATTTGTTAGGATGGACTTTTGAGAAGAGGTTATTTATGGTTTATTAATATATTATAAGTTCTAATATATTAATATGAAATCATATGATTTAATTAGTATTGATCAAGAATTAGTTTTGAATAAATTTAGTGATCAAAAGAGACTAATTAAATCAATGGGACTAATTGTGTAAATTAGTTATATTTATATGTTGGGCTTATGATCCATGTTGGACTAAGTTTATGTATGGATACATAAATAGTTGGACCACATGAACCATGGATCATAAACCCATGGGTATGGGTTAGGGTTAACCCATGACCTTTGGAATCCCACATATGACTCCATAGCCAAAATCACTAATAATCTATTCTTAGAGAACTATGAGCCAATTTTGTGTGAAAGGAATACTCTCTCAAAATGTCATCCTTTGTCCTAGATGTGTTGTGATTCCATTTGAGGCATTCACACTATTGGTGCTAAGTTCTTAAGGGCCAAATACATCAAGAATAGCAAGTTACAACAAAAGGTATGTTATCTAACTTGTTTTATTACCCAAGTATTAAAGTTTTGTATGCTAGTTAGGGTAATACCTTGGAAAAAGAAAGTTTGCATGTATAATAGAGAAAACATAGATCCAAGGTATTTAGGGTTGCATGTACACCTTAGGAGTGTTAGAATGCTCAAAACCCAACAATATCGACCCTAGGAGGCCAGATCTACGTTTTGGATGCATCAAGCCCGATTAAAATCGACTGGATAGATTTAGACTTTGGGGGACTCGACGAGTCGTTCATACGACTCGGCGAGTTGGGTCGAAGTCCCCCAACCTTTTCTGTTTCTGAGTAAACTCGTTGAGTCTAGAAGATGAATCAGCGAGTTGGCTATGGTATGGGCTATGAAGATTGAGGAACTCGGCGAGTGCAAGGAGGGACTCGACGAGTTGTGGGTAAAAGGTCCTGATTATGTTTTAAGGATGAACTCGACGAGTTCATGAAAGGACTCGACGAGTAGGATCGTGATTTTAGGGTTTTAATGGATTATGGAACTCGACGAGTTGATAGACCAACTCGACGAGTTGAGTCAACCAGGATGTTGACTTTGACTTTGACTTTGACCATTGACCAGAGTTGACCCTTGGAGGGGCTATGAGTATGAAAGAGTAATTAAAGAAGATAATTATGTGTAGAAGTTTGAGAGGAGTTGATCCAGGATCCGAGGACAGTTCAGCTACTTCACGACATTGAGGCGAGTTACCTTCCAGTAGAAGTGGGTCTAAGGCCACAATGCCGGCCCACTAGTAGGAGCTGTAGTTGAGATAATTGTCTTTGTGATAATTGTCTGGTATGCCTCTATCTGTTATGTTTTATGTGCTAGTATGCTATGATGTTATGTGATAGTGATAGAATGGGTAAGTTAGTCCCTAGTACCGGTCGATAGGGCTGAAGGGGTATGCCAGCACCCGGATAAGCTAGGCAGTATATGACTTATATGTTTACGCACTAGGATGATATGTGGTAGAAGTAGGGGGTGAAATAGTCCCCGATACCGGTCGACAGGACTGAAGGGGTAGGTCAGCACCCTGATATGCTAGGCTAGGTACCGGTCGACAGGACCGAAGGGGTAGGCGAACACCCTGATATGCTAGGCTAGGTACCGGTCGATAGGACCGAAGGGGTAGGCCAACACCCTGATATACTAGGCAATTACCAGTTGAAAGAGACCGAAGGGTAGCTAGTACCCGGATATGTTAGACAATATGTGGTATGATGGGGGAACTCACTAAGCTTTGTGCTTACGGTTTCCAGTTTTTGTTGTAGGTCCTTCTTTTTCGAAGGGAAAAGAGCCGGCACGGTAGCAGCGCATCACACACATGATTTTCCGCATATGAGATTCTTGGGATTTGTACTCTGACATTGTTGCTATATTATGACATGCTTTTGAGACTTATGATCTATGGTTTTATGAAATGAAGTAACTTGATGATGTTTTCTACAAATTGTTTTATGAATCGTTATATCAAAATAAAATTTTTGGTCATGATTTTTGGGATGTTACAATGTGTGTGGATGTGTGTGTGTGTGTGTTTGTGGGTGTAGGGGTGGGGTGGGTGTGGGTGTGGGTGTGTGTGTGTGGATGTGTATGTGTGTGTGTTTGTGGGGGTGGAGGTGTGAGTGGGGGTTGGGGTGGGTGTGTATTTGTGGGGGGTGTGTGTGTATGTTTGTGTGTGTGTGTGTGGGGGGGGGGGGGGGGGGTGGCTTGGGAGTAGGTGGGTGTGTGTAGGTAGGGGTGTGATGGATTGGGGGTGTTAAGGTTGTGGTAGGTAGAGGTGGGAGTGGATGTGTGTTTATATTTTAGAAAAAAATTGGAATTAGAAAAATGTGGAAAACAATGATTATTGGTTTTCTAAAAATTTCTAAATTCTTTGTAATTTTAAGAAAACAGAAATTTTTAGAAAACGGAAAATTTTCATTTTCCATGAAAAATTTAGAAAATAGACGAACTAAACGCGTTTTCAAAATTCTCATTTTTCTTGGAAATTTTTTCCGGAAAATGACCCATTTTTCCGCAACTAAATGCGATAGGGTTCAAATTTACAACATCATTCTCTCTAATAAATAAAGAACTTTTTGTCACATGTCATATTCTCTTTCATTTGGACACATGTCATTTTATAGAATTTTTGAATTTTCTATTTTCCACTTGTCATTTAATTATATTTTTCATTTTATTAAATTAAAATTCCCCATTTAATATGTAAGGTAATATATATGTAAGATATTTATTAGAAATTGTTTATATATGTAATGTACTCAATACATTAAAGCCTCATTAACTTTATTAATTCAAAATTTTTCTCATTTTTCTTATAAATTCAAACTTTTCAATTTGTTAAAATTTCATAATTAATTTTTTTTAAATAAACCTATGTAATACATGGGCGTCACACCTAGTACACAATATATCTAAAGTAAATACAAAAAACAATAGAAGATACATGGATAAACATGACATTGGAATCAAACAATATAAATCTAAAGCGTAAACTGTGAACATGAGTGTTTCTTAGTGAGCATAATGTGAAACAGACAAAAATGTGAAACAAGTGTTTCCTTCCTTTCGAACACACAAGTAGGCAAAAATAAACTTTTACGTAGCTTTAAATGTATTAAAATCAGCTTTAAAAGAACATAACTTACTTGATTCCGCCTATTTTCCCAGGTTTCTAAGAGCATATGGTATGGGCAACTTGAAGTAGTGTTATAACAAGAAGCAACAAGAAGAGGGGGTGGTGTTCATGATGTTATAACACCCGTTAAGAGAAGAGAGATAGAGAGAGAATTTATGCAGCCAATAGACGATCACGTTTCATCTAGTCATGGCCACAACAAGAAGCAACACAACTAGATACAACAAGAAGGGGGGGGGGGGTGGTGTTCATCTTGCTATGACTAGGTTATGAGGTGCCACATCAGCAATAATAGCATTTATCGTTGCCCATACCATATGCTCTAATATGAACTAGTTGTGAGACTCATGTATTAAATGTAATACATGAGTTAATTTAAAAAGAAAGATATAAAAGTCTAAATATTTGAGAACTTTAAATTTATAAGAAAATAAGAAAAATAATGAATTATTAAAATTAAAATGTATTTTTATATATTTTAAATTTGAACTAATAATTTAAATAAATAAAAAAAGAAATTAATAAGCTTTAATTTGAGAATTTTGAAATTAGAAGGTAAGTCTAATAATGAAATTGATATCTATTTATTATTATATTTATTGTAATTATTACATTAAAATATTATGTGAAATTTAATAAAATAAAAAACTCATAAAATGACATGTGGAAAAAAATTAATTCAAAATAACTGAAAAATGACATTTGAAAAATTGAATGAGAATGTGACGTCTGGAAAAAAAAAACGGATTGGAGATGAGAGAGTTTGTCAATACACTGTGAAAATATAAGGTTGAAAATGAGAACGAAATCTAGACTTTTTGGGTGACCACTTATTGACAATTTCTCATTTCATAGTGGCCTTTGGGAAATACTTGAGGTATTAGGAACGAATCAATTTTTTGGTTAATATATGCCAAATTATTAAGTAAAATGGATATATTTATTTACTCACAAAGTAATAGTCAACTAACATTATATAACGACCAAAAGACATTACATCACAAAAAAAATGTTATTGAATAGTTATCTATTACAAATCACATCACAATACAACAAAAGTCATACTATTTGGTACAACAATTTTACATAAAAATAAATTTATAGAATCATATATATACAATATACATTGTAACAATGCTATTAAAATAAAAGCATGTGAAGATATAACAATGAATTTAATTTCTAATTTGTTAATCAACCAGTAAAAAAACACCAGATACAACTAGACTATGACAACTCCCTGTTAGGGGTGGTTGGAAGAGAATATGTCCCGCGACCACCATTGAGGATTTGTGAAGTGCCCCAATGCTCATGAAAAGATACAGTTGGAAGAACTTCAAGGGTTGACCTTGGAGACTGGCGGGTGGATGGTGAATTCTCTTGTGGATGTTTCCGGGCTCTTCTATGCGAGGGTTGCATTATATCTTTGTGGCGTGCATGTGATTCTTTTGGATTAAATGATATTTCCTAGAATAGAATTTAAAAAATAATCATATGAAAACTAAGAATAACAAATATGTAAAGTGAAAATTATATAAAAGCCACTATGATTTGGCCATTTTGTGGTTTAACCACTGTATTTTAGTTTCGTCAATAAAAGTCGCCCAAGTTTGATGACTACTTTGTCCTTAGCAGGCTAAAGTGGTCGCATTAGAAATCTTTTGTCTAAGTTTAGTGGCTTTAGTGAAAATTACGACACTCAATATTCCACTAAAAATACTAAATTTTGAAAAAAGTTTTGTTGTCACCACTTTATATAAAAAGTCAAAGTGGTTAACATAGATAAAATCGTGTCAAACTTCGGTTACTTTCATTCGTTAAAGTAAAATATGGTGGATAAAAAAATGGCAAAAAGATAATGGCTTTTATGTATTTTTCCCATAAATAAATGACTAAATGACAGAAATGGTCACTATGTATTGTTTTTTTTTTTGGTCCCAAAATGTTTTTTCTTGCAACTTCTTTCCTTATTTGAGGTTTCGTAAATTTATTTATGTATGTTTCATAATGATTTTGGTCATGGTTTCAAATAAAATGACTATTTTAACATTTTTCTAACTTCCTTATAACATTTTTTTAGTGATTTTTTCTTTATAAATAACAAAATGCCAATAGCCCACTAGGCAGTAACCAAGTGTCACATTTGTCCCACCTACTTCCTCGAATCATTTTTTTTTGTAAAGATTCAATACTCAACTTTCATTTTTGTGAAGTTTTTTAATCTTATGTTCTATTATTGCGAAAATTTCTAATTTCTAATTTGTGTCGTTGACGTGGACATATGATGTGACAAATTTATTGAAACATGTGAAACTGCTTCAATAAACATGTCACACGTCATATGTCCATATCAATGTCGTGTCAACAAAAAGTACAAAATTTCATAACAGCACATAAAACTAAAAATCAAGTGGTTAAACATTTTCAAAAAAAGTTGATGAAATATGTATATGAAACTTGGTTGCTATTTAGCAACAATTCTCCAAAAAGAACATAAAAAATAAATAAATAAATAAACAAACATTGTACTTACATTCAATCTCAAACGAGAAAATGCTTGTTTGCAGAGTGAAAAATTTGGATCAAATGAGTTCCGCACAAAAGGATGTTCAAGCAACAAAGCAGCTGATGAGCGATTTTCAGGATTCCTTTTCAAACATCGACTCAAAAAATCTTTTCCTTCTGATGATAAAGATTCAGGTATTGGTGGTGATCTTCTTAACATGTTGAACATCGCTTGCCCCTAACAATAAAAAAAATTAAATTGTATCAATTTCTTTCTTAGGACATTGTTATAATCGGGTAAATTTTTCAATGTATGAAAAAGAGAAATTTCATATAAAGTCCCTACATTTTGACCTCATATTCAATTAAGTCCCTATATATTTTTTTTGGGAAATCTTTGATAAAGTCCCAATATTTTGGATTAGTTTACGCTTTAATCCCAACATTTATTTTTTGAACAGAAAAGCCCTGATTATCTAATTTTACACAATAATCTGTCATTTTATGTTGAAAAAAATAAGGACTATTTCTAGACCTGTCAATGGGGCGGGTTTTCACCCTGATTCGCTCCAAACCCGTAAGAATTTTACGGGTTTGGATTGTAATTTTTGATTCGTTTACCCGTTTACGATCCATACCCGTTTACCTTTTTAATAAATGGGTCGGGTATGGATCATTGTCGATCCGCTCCACTTATAACCCGCCCCATTATATATATATATATATATATATATATATATATATATATATATGACAACAAAATATACCACTCGATGTCTAGTTAAAATATGATTTTTATTGTATTGGACTTTGAGTATTAATTAATGTACATCTTGTTTAAGTAGACATTTTATCTTTTTGAGAAATATTACTTTGTGGAACACATAAAAATTTTGAAAATTTAATATTATAAAAGGGTCGGGTTAATGGGTCGGGTATTCGTTGATTCGGTGGATACGGGTATAGATTCGACTATTCAAGACCCTGAGGGTTATTGGAGCGGGGCGGGTCATGTTTTTATTTTTTTAAATGGGTTTGGATCAAGGGTGATTCGCTCCAAACCCGCCCCATTGACAGGTCTAAGTATTTCGTTAGTTTGGGCAAAATATAAAATAATCGGGACTTTTCTGTTCAAAAAATCAAAAGTCGTGATTAAACCGTAAACTGACCTAAAATATTGGGACTTTATCGGAGGTTTCCCTTTTTTTCTGATTAAATCCCGAATACTGGTTAAATTATTCAATTGTGGAGAATTTGCTGGTTAACAACATATGTGGATGTCGTGTGTAGGGACTTAATTGAGTATGAGGTCAAAATATAAGGACTTTATAGAAAATTTCCCTAGAAAAATACCAACTTACTGCATTGAACTCATTCCAAGGAGGTTTTCCGGTGACCATTTCAATTATCGTACACCCCAAGCTCCAAATGTCCATGGTACACGTGTCTTCCATATTTGCATCTTTTCTAAGAACAGCTTGCAAAACCTGTGAAGATGATGACAATCTTTATATGATTGTAAACATTAAGGGTAAATTTGTAATTTCAAAGAAATACCTCTGGAGCCATCCAGTGTGGACTACCCTTTAAGGAAAGATCATTTGAATGAGCAGAAAGCTGTAAAGCCACAAAAGGGATAACAGATAACTATTAGGACACATAGAACACTTTTTTCCTTTTCTTTTTTCATTAATATAATATTGATAATTGATAAATATATAATAGAAATTATTTTTCAACTCACATGTTTTGCCAATCCAAAGTCTGCTAGCTTCACTACCCCGGATGCATCAACGAGCAAATTTGCTCCTTTAATATCCCTATAAATATAATAGAAATATATCATCTACTTACTTCTAGTTGCAATTATCAATATGTATGTGAAGAGAAATAAATCATAAATCATAAATCATAAATCAATAATAAGAATCACCTGTGAACTGTTTTCTTGCTGTGTAAGTAAGCCAATCCTGAGAGAATATGACGTGTGAAATTTCTAACTACAGATTCTGTTAAAGCTCCACAGTGTTCTTTCACATATTTATTAATGGCGCCAGGGTGAACATACTCCAAATATATGCAAAATCGATTCTCAATCTGCATAGAGGAGAGTAATTTGTTGATATTTATATGTTTTTATCAACAAAATTAATGAAATCTATTATAGAGTAAAGAAACTTACGATTTCAGAACCCAGATACTGTACGATGTTTGGATGTTCTAAGGTTCGTAGAACTCTTATTTCCTGCTCTAATTGACGTATACATTCAGATGATTTGGTGTCGTCTGGAATGATGTCGACTTCTTTCATTGCGCATAAACTTCCAGTTTCACTAGAAGGAAAAATTTGAATTTATAAAACAGAGAGGAGAAGATGAGAAGAAGGTAGTTTTGAGTTATGATTATGGTTATGGTTATGGTAGATGATGACATACCGATTGATTGCTTCATATACGCTACCATAAGTTCCACGACCAAGGAGTTTCCCTTTCTGCCATTGTCCTTTTATCGATTGCCCATCTGATTGACGACTAGACACATGTCTCGGAGGTGCGGGAGGCCGGGGAAGTGGATGAACATTAACGTTGTTGCTTTCTGTCCTTGCCATGGAAGTTTCCGGCAAAGATTTGTTGTTAAGTAAATGGACTGACGGATTCCGGTAAGGACTCTGTAATGGCGGACTGTGGAGTTGCGATCGTCTTGTTGATGGCGGAGAAAAATTAAATTCTCGAGGAAACGCAAACGCAGAATCGAATATATCGACGGTGCTAAACCTTTTGGGGCTGAGTGTAGGGCTCGTGGAGGTGGTGGTAGGGGCACTCCTAGCCGGAACATCTAACCTGATATCACCGCCATCGTTTTCGCCGTTATGCCTTCAGGATAACATTTCCGGCGATGGTAAGTAGAAATTTTAGATGAAATTGAGATACCACGACTGTTACTGTTCGTCGGAATTCTATCAGATCTGCAACTATATAGTTTCCAGATTCAATTTCACAATAAGATGGAAGCATAATCATATCAATCATATCCTCCCTTTATGATTCAAAAATCTCAGAAGCTTACCGTCCATCTCCTCTGCTATTAGCTTCCGCCGGAAACCGCAATTCATCATTTGGAAGCGGCAATGGTTGGGGTACGGCGGACAAGGACCAGTGTTGCTGCAACTTATGTGGTGACTTTGACTTGGAAGTTGGGGAAACTGGCAACGATTTTGACCTAGTACTAGCATCATCTTCCTCCGGTGCACAAAAGTCCTCCATTGTCAGGTGGCGGAGTTTACGCTGCCTGGTGAGCCTCTTCTTCAACTGCGGAGAAAAAAGCCCTCCATTCATCGACGACCCACACGGCGACGAAGAAGACGAACTCGGAGATGTCGATGCAAAATTCGCATTCTTCGAAGAATTATTAGAAGTAGAAGTAGAGAAATGCATCAGATTAGCAGGGGAAGAAAGATGAAATCTCCTTTTATTGAAGAATTTACCCATGAGCAACCAAAATACCAAATTCGCAACCAAAATAGCCAAATGCTTTACGAAAACGGGGATCGAGAAGCTAATAGAAATTGAGGGTTATGAGGTTGAGGAGTCGTTGCGTTTACTACCATTTTGTCAACATTTGAATCGGCAATTGAGACGTTTGTTTCCTCCATGTTATGATTGAAGTAAGGCACACGATTATATATATACATATCATCATCACCAACATCATCATCACCCTCGTTATCTCTTCCACTCTGTGTAAACGCCAAGAAACAAAAGTCCAAAGTCAATGCTCGTGTGCATTGCATAGTGCATACTTGGTCGTATATATACATATATACTTTCTGTATGTATAGATACAGAGGGGGAAGAAGAGACGTTCCACTGAATTTTCAAAAGCAGACCAAACTGTAAACGTAGATATTGATTGGAAAAGTCGCGTTTGACCCTGGTGTTTTTATTTATATTATCAAACGATCCCTCTCTAGTTTTTTTTTTCCTCATAATATTATATTAGGTAAATACTCTTATTATAAATTTATGACTGTTTTTTAATAGTAGCATTAAAACAGTTGTTTCCATTGTTTTAATATATTATAATTATGAATGGAGACTCCTTCAAGATCGATTTTGATGTATATTTATATCATTCGTAAGAAGTTTTCAGAGAAGGGTTTTTGTTAGAATTACCCAGATTACACATGGCAATCTAATATATGGACATGACACCAATTTGCTTTACCTAGAAGAGGATTTTCGTGCTTAGGCAAAAACTCACCTGCTTACCCTTTTATTTTCTTAAAATGACATTTTAAACTCCTAAATATGGACTTAATTCTCCTAAAGTGAAATAAAATTAAAATAAAATTAAGTGATATTTTAAAACAAACAGGAAATTTTTGTAGGGTTAAAATGTCATTTTAACGTTAATAAATCTTATTTATTTTTAAAATTAGTTTGACAAGTTCATTTTCATTTCTAACATAGTTTGTAGTTTATAGAGTATAGTTTATAGAGCAAGGGAGTGTTTGAAATTACTTATTTGAAGTTCTTATTGATTTATTTCGGTTTGATAAGCCACTTCCTACTTACTTATTAACTTATCGACTTAAATAAATAGTTTTTGATAAGTCACTCCCTACTTACTTATTGACTTGTTTAATGAGTTTTTGATAAGTTGTTTTATTATAAGATTTATAGCACATAAAATAAAAGTTTGTCAAACACTGTAATTTATCTAATTAATTTGTACCATATAGCTTTTTATCAACTGTATCAGTGTGGTCCTTCCTTATTAAGGTTGATGGTTCAAAGTCTCGTATGAGACATATGTGAAATTAGAAGTAGTAAAAAGTAAATTAGATTCGTTGTTCTAAATTTTTTTTTTTTGATATCAGATAAATTAATCCAAATATTTTAAGAATGAAATACATACCTTTGTGTTATAATCGTAACCAAAAATATGACTGTCTCTAACGACTCACACCAAAAACCCTAGAAACAAAGAATGATGAGAGAGGAGGTGAGGAAAATTTCGGCTATAAGCCTCTTGGGAATGATATGAACGAAATTTGAATTCATTGGGGTCCTATTTATAGTGTAGGTGGTACAAAGAAAACTCTATATTTGAATAATAAAATAATACAATTTTATTTATTAAAATATGATAATTCTTATTAGCTTTTCAAGCCTTCCAGAACCCTTTATTATCCTTTGTAAAATCATTTACCACCCTAAGAGGGTTCTAAAATTGTTTAAGACTTTTACAAATAAACATAAGTTGTTTTAAATAAACAATCTAAAACACCTCCTAAATTACATAAATGGTTCATTTGTATTACAAAGATAGTTTTTCTTTTAATTTCATATATTTACAAATATGGTTTTGTTTTTTACAAACTCAATCTTAAATTACTATTTTACATTTACTTTATTTTTTCTATATGTTTTTAATTTAGATATTTTACAACACCCAACACCACCCTTTCATTTTATATTCTTTCAAATGATAAAATAGTTATAGATATGGAGAATTCCAGTGTCCAACAATAAAGTGAAAGGAATCAAATGTTAGAAATAGGGGATGAACATATTGCTTGGATTCTCTGAAAGCCGTGATTTACTATCAAATTGAAGTATTTCGATGGTACAGATCGAACAATCAATTGGATGAAATTCAGAGATACGAAATCAGAGAATGTATGTGAAATGTGTTGGGTTTTGAGCACTATAACATTCCTATGGTGCACATGCAACCCTAAATGCTTTGGATCTATGTTTTCTCTATTACACATGCATATTTTCAATTTTTACAAAGCATTGTCCTAACTAGCATACAAATTGCCAAATGAATAAAACATCTAGTTAGATGACATACCTTTTGAAGGACTTGTAGTTCTTGACCCTTGAAAGCTTGAGCACCTCAAGTATGATGCCTCTGATGGTTCACAAACACCAATATGCAAGAGGATGATTTAAGAGAATAATCTATTTATCTCAAAGAGAAGAGGCATGTATGTGTAGCCGATTTTGGCTCATGGAGGGTTCTATTTATAGTGTTGGACATGATAGGGTTACACTTGGTAAACCCTAATAACCCATGACTTTCCACTTTCTCATGCTCCATGGGTTTAACCTCCATGGACTATCCATGAATTAGTTTAGCCTATAATCATGGATCATTAGCCTACGCTACAAGAATGATTGATTTACATAATCAATCCCCATATATTTAATTAGTCTCTTTTGATCACAAAATTAATAAATTAATTCTTGATCAATACTAATTAAATAATTCCGTATTAATATATTATACTTGTAATATATTAATACACCATAAATAACCTTATTCTCAAAATTCATACTATCAAATTGCACTGGTGAAGGCAACCCAAAAGGACAATGCTACAATCGGGTCAAGTACATACCAGTTATAGTTATGGGCTTAGACACCAAATCCAACAGTCTCCCACTTGGATAAGTCTAATAACTATTACTGCTTATGCACTTCAGGATCTGACTTAGCAATCGTAAGCTTTCAAAAGCCGTTGTCGAACTCTGACCTAGTCAGTGACGCGTCCTTCAGATAAGTGATCATATACTCCTCTATTCTCAAGATATCTATGCGGACAAACACATGGAACATAGTCATACTTATTGCCCTGCAATTTGTTTCCCGATTTCTGATTCGTCTGATATAGAACATAACTAAACACATCAATTTAGTTCTGACCGGGCCCGGAACATAAGTCAAAACAGAATCATTGAGGGGCCAAAGATATCGCTTTTAATACTCTTAGGATAAAAGGAACAGATAAACTTCGACATTATATGCTTGTACTAACTACTCATCAAATCATGCATAACGACACGTTTTATAACATCAAGTTACTGATGCGTTTTCGTGCCATCAATGCACAACCAACTCGTAGTCAACAACTCATATATCTTGGTTTGAAGATTAATATGATATTATCGTCTCACAATCACTCGTGATAAATTCCATGAAGTAATTTAGGTGAGTGCGGGTTGAATTCAATACTCAAATCTTATTTCAGGAGCACTCATGAATGGTGTAACACACTTTTGCTATGTCTAAATCCTTAGACAATCTACAAGCCAACTCATGATAGTCTTATTTCATACTTACTTCCAACGTATGATAGACTATGGATGGTTTGAATAATAATAATAATCATAACTTTATTATTCTGGAAGTCAAAACATGCAAAGTGAAACAATAGTAAATAATTGTCATAAGACAGTAACCTTACTTATAAAAAAAACTCCTTTTATTCAATCATCAAATGTCAATTACAATTTAGCTATTACAAGTTTCAATTTATCTAATTACTAAAACTAATATCGTCATTTAGCCCAATGCTCCTCGCATGCTGCAAGTGCTTAACCCTAGTCAGCCCTTTTGTAAGAGGATCTGTTGGGTTGTCCTCTAACGATATCCCCTTTACCATGAGGTGTCCTTCTTCTACTTGATGTATTATGAAGTGGTACTTTCTGTCGATATGCCTAGATTGTAACACTAGTCAAAATAGGTCAATAACAGTCACATGTGATTATGCCAATCATGTAATGTGATGTTGTTAAACTAGTAATATGATAAAATTACTATGTAGTTCATGATAAATTATAATACAAATATGAACTTTCTTTATGATACAACTCAAAGTATATGTCCATACGATTCCAGAAATATAGAGAACGTCTAAATCTGATTTCGCGTGATGAAGTTATGATAAATTCTAACGCTATAGATCCTTATAACAAGAGGAATTTAAAATAGAATTAGAATTAGTTGTTGAAATCTAAAAGAGAGTTGTATTAGTCGAAATTACCTACACGTTCATATAAAGAACGTCAAAAACGGAGTTCGTATGCAAAAGTTACGACCTTCCGAAGTTACAGCTGTCTTAGAGGATGACACGTGGCAGGAAACCCTAGCTGTCTGGATTCACGACGTGAACATTAGAATCACGACGTGAAAGTAGTCCAGGATACATTTCGGGGCTAGAAAACACGTTCGAATTCTACGGGAGTGAGGTGTTGAATCCCCACGACGTGAACATAAAGGACACAACGTGAAACTAGAATCGTGACACCTTCCGAAGCTAGGACCCAAATGGCAAGTCTACGAGATGATGCGACTTAGATTCACGACGTGAACCTTAAGTTCACGACGTGAACTTGTCTTGGACAACCTATAAATAGCAAGTCCGGCCTCTTCTCTTCTTACACCTGAACTTATTTCTCCTCTCTCCTTTGCTGAAGCCATCTTGCATCCCAAGCCCGGTGATCGCGAACCACTGAACATTTTCAGTTAGATATTGTCAAAAGCACGATATTAAAGTGAGTTTCATGGCCCCACTTTTTAATATTTTCAGGGGAAAACTCATGCTAAATATTGTATATACGTTAATATTATGTCTACACGATAGTATATTAGTATCAACGTAGATAGTTATATTAACCGGGATATAGTTGTTTAAATA